CCGTCCAATTCTGTCTTCTATTGGTTTGTCATTTAAGCAGCCGCTACTGATATTACTTAGCCATCTGCCTCTCGCAGATCTTGCAGTTTTCTTGACAGTCTCTTTTTCAATAATAGCTGGAACATATGGGTGACCTGGTAAATTTTTTTCCCTCATTTATGCCTTCAGCACTGGCTTCAGACCAAACACCAGGCCCAAGGCTTGCAACTTCGAAGAAAAGGAAAGAAAGGAAAAGAATAGTCCAAACACCTGTGGAATGTTTTCTTGCTTCTGAGAACTATAGCGCTTTTTATTGCTCGGTACAACACTTTCCATGGCTGGCACTTGCAGTGTCCCATGGCCAACTTGGTTTCCTTTCCAGCAGGTTCCAGCTAGAGCTTGGGCAATGGCTACACGGGTGAAAGAATCCTGCAATTCTTCATGCTGCAAAACGGATTCCTTTGGCCAGGGGTTAGATAATAGATATGCTTCCCTCAAACACTCACGAGCTTGCACTTGCACAAACAGTGAGGACAGGTGTGTCTCTGGTGCTTACACACTCACGTGAAACAAGTTTGAAGCTCATTTTCCCAGAGAACTTGCACCACACCACTGGAGTGGTGATAAAAGCTGAATGAACAGAGAGAGGATTATAAAAAGAACAGAAGGGATACCATGTGGTTTCTGTGGCCAGTAATTTAGGCCTTGAATCAGGAAAGTAGCCCCTGAGACCCATGCATAAGCTCTGTTCTGAGTTTGCATAGATGTAAAAGCACTCGAACCAGGGTCTAAGGCAGGGGAGGCAAAACGCGGCCCGTGGGCCAGATGCAGCCCCACCAGGTTATTCTACCTGGCCCACAGGGCCCCTAAAAATTTAGAAAATGAATATTTATCTGCCCCTGGCTGCCTGTTATGCAGCCCATGGTAGCTTGCCAAAATGCAGTAAGCAGCCCTCTGCCCAAAATAATTGCCCGCCCCTAAGGTAAACCCCCTTAGAGGGCTCTGATCTTTAAGTGGGAAATGCCACGCTGCAAACAAATACATCATTAGACATGGGCTCATTCCAAATAATGACTAAAATTGAGGATCTAGCACAGAAAAAGAAATAAACCTCATCCAGCCAAGTACCTGGTGCTCACCCGGTGCTCCTCTCAGGCTCCAGCTCCTTGGCTGGACACGCTGGGAGGTTTGATCACTCATTTAGGGTTAGCAACATGCACCTTCTCTGGAGAGACTAGAGCTTTGCCTCGTTTACTGGAAGCAGAAAGATGGAGCAGATTTAATGAGTTTTTTAAAAGTCTGTAGTAAATTTACTTCTCAAAAAAGTCAGGAATTCCTTATGCTAGCTAAACCCCAATTATGCTGTCCCAGCCCCAGGTAGTTCTGCCACCGAAACCTTTGCTATGCCAGTCTGCGCCGCAACACACGGTCCCAGGTCGTACTGCCGCTGCATCCCCTCTACCCATCCTTGGCCCCTTTCCTGATCAGAAATGGCCCAGTATACTAATGACTTCTGGTGTTGAACTTCTGTACCAGAAGTTGATGAACTCACCAGCACGTTTAACTGTGCCCCAAGGGTGGATTTGAACAGAGCTTGACCTCAGGAGCTGACGGGCAAAGGCTTTCATCAACTGTATTGCTGTCTCCCTTCCACCTTGGCGAAACACTCTCATTGCCAGCATCACTTCCCGGGAGATATGAGCCTGTGCTATCAGTCTGAGCAGCTGATATCATAAGCCACGATCTTCTGCTAGAGCCCACGACCGCAGGAACTATTGCTCAAGCATCACATTCCTATTCCCTGCTTCACAAGAACAGCTGTACTGAAAAGATGCTGAGAATCTCTATGAGGTTCCAAGGAAAAGATATTAACCCAGGCGGGGAACAGCAGAGTTATAATAAAATGTCATAATAAAACAGAGAAGCCACTGAGTGGATTAGCAGCACAGAGTTTGCTTGGCATTTGCTCTCCTTTTATACAGCTTTACTCAGTGCACCGGGATCTGTTGAAATTCCTCAGTCTCAGAAGACTTCAAGGGCTCCATAATTTCAGACAGGTTTGCTATATGTGGAAGGTTATACAATCCAGGAGGCAAAGTGCTAGGGTATTACCCAAAGCAGGATGAATTGAACTGGGCGAGGGCACGCAGCGGGCCATACAAGAGGATGTGATAGACTGTTACCTGCCGGGATCCGGCAGGGCTTTAGCTAGGGAATCAATGGGAGTTTTGCCATGGGTGTCAAAGGGAGTCAGGCCCTCAGTCCTAGGGCTCTGCTTGTTGCAGAATAGCGAAAGGACATTCGTGGCACCTATGTTTTGAGGTGGGTGATGCACAGCTGCATAGGCACTGTTACATCTGGAAACTGAATCATTTCAGCTGAGTAAAAGGACACGCTAGCCCCAAGTCAGCACTGAAACCTCTCCCTTATTGCTGGTCTACAGGCAGAGCAGAGGTCACATTCAGATTGGAGGACATGGGGTCCAGCTACCGGCAAGTGTTACTCATCCTGAGCAAAAGCATCAGGATCTATCTCTCTGTTTTTAAGGCAGCTGGTTACAAGGGAACAATTCTCCAGTGGAAACTACATGGCATGCTGCAATGCAGCCGGTCAGCTTGTGATGTTACACACAGCCGGGAGCAAAAGATGGCTTGCAAGCTTCACTGCCTACTGCTGGGCACTAGCTGTCACGGGTTCTCTAAAGGCTCTCTTGCTTAGGACCCCCAGCCTTAATTTGGTCTCTCCAAGCCAGCCCCAGGTATAGGGTTGCCAACCCTCCAGGATGGCCCTGGAGTCTCCAAGAAGTCGAGAGAAATCTCCAGGAGACTGCTGAAAGTCACCCAGGAGATAAATGATAGGATATTCACGAAAAGAACTATTACATGTTGAATCTGATTTATACAGTTGTCCAGTGGGTTTTTAAAATGTAATGGTTACATGCATTTGCCTTCCTGACAAAAGTCATTCATGGCATTACATCATGCGATGAAACCTCCCGGAATAGATTCAAACAGAGTTGGCAATGGCAACTCTACCCAGGCAAGCGGTTGAGCCCCTGGCTCCTTGGGCTCTGAAGCCAGGCTTTCTTCTCCCTGGCTCCCCCAGTAAGCTACCTTCTAGCTCTGCTCTTTGAAAAGGACTTTACCTCTTTAGGGAAGAAGAGTGCTCCCAGACTTGCACACAGTGAAGCACACAGCTCTTCTTCAAAGAAAGCAGCATTTCCTGGTTACCTGTGGCACAGCAGGCAATCCTTGGGTCAACGCACCTTGGCCAAGTCTTGGGCAAGGTCTGCTCGGTCAGAAAACCAGGCTGTCTTTCTTTGAGGATCTCAATTTCTCCCAGTCCCGCCTTCCTCTCCCTTCTGTTTCTGGGAGTTGGTTTTTTTCAGCCTTCCTTAATGTCTCTTGGGCACCAGAGAAAGCAGATCTCCAGGGACTGAGGCCTTAGCTCAGTAGTGCTCCGCTGAGCCTTCACATGCAAATCAGTCTATGCTAGTGCTGGAGACCTGTTCATTTATATACAGAGACACACCTTCATGCCCAGCTCCAATTCAGGACAATGTTAACCCATCCTTTCCAGAATAAAACAATGTGCAAAAACATTGGGAAACCGAGGCAAGCAACACTATCATAGAGACTGTGCAAAACAACCCCCTGACAACTACCCCAGAAATGCAACGAATCAGTACCATATTTGGTCACACTAGTGCCCTTCTTGAAAGCTTTTTTTTTTTTTAATGAGAGAAAATTCAATTTTTGTTTAAATGTTTTGGCATCGTCTAAGGTGAAAACCAAAAGCCAACTATCATTTGAGTTTCAACACTTGAAAAATGATGGAAAATGACTCATTTCTCCAAAAAAAAAAAAAAGAAGAGATCAATGAAAATATTTTTCCTGCCCAATTTTGGGTGGAAACTAAAAGATTCAGCCAGCTCCCACACCACGTCAAGAGCTGCTGTGGGAGTCACCATTAGTCACTGACCTCTTTCACGGTCACAATACTATCTCCACTTCCCACTTTGCTATTGGCCTGGACCAGCAGTGCGTGTGCGTGCACGCACAGAGCTACGGGGTGAGTGAAGTGGAGAGGAAGGACGGCTGTGGATCTTTCCGAGAGCAGGGGGAGGGCAGCAAGCAAGCATGAAGTCTGTATAATCCTGAGCACCAGGGTGCAAGGTCCAAGTGACCCATGCAAGGAGAAGTCTAATCCCCCTGGCCTCCCTTGTGCAGACACGCTGTTGGGTGGTTGGTTGTAGCCGTGTTGGTCTAAAGACATAGGCAGGCAAGGTTCCTTGAGTAGATGTGATCTCTTTTATTAGACCAACTGAGTAGTTGGGAAAAAACATTCTTAGGAAGCTCTCGGGTACAATCACCCTTCTTCTCCACACAGACTCCCTACACCTGAAGAAGGGTGATTGCACCCGAAAGCTGGCTAAGAACTTTTCCCCACCTACTCAGTTGGTCTAATAAAAGACATCACATCTACCCAAAGAGCCTTGCCTGCCTTTGTGCAGACATGAAATCCAAGTCACCACCCAAGCCTACGTGAAGTCCTCTCCAATACATACCCGCTCTCCATTCCCTGCATGGAGAGTCCTGCCCAGGGAGCAACACTTTGCCCCATGTTTCCCCTCTCTTGCAAGCAGAAAGCCGAGAGCGCAGTGGGGAGAAATGTCAGAGAGGGTTTGGCTTGGCTGCATGGGACATCTGTCCCCTCGAGCTCGAGCAGGCCCCAAGGATTCCTGGGCTTGAATGAAAACAGAGAATGTGCAGAGCATTTCAGTGGCAAGCCATCAGCTGTGCCACCTTCCCTTCAGCTGCTGGCACCTGTCATCTGCTGACATCATTTAAAATGACCCAGGGCATTTAAATTTTTAAAGCCCATGCACCACAGCTGTTTTCCTAACACTCCTTCATGCGACTCTGATCCACTCCAAGCTCAGCGTCCGAGTCCTCTTGTATTTATTTCCAAAAGGTCCGATTCTTTCGAATTGAATTTGGGCGACCTCCACCCCTTCCTCCATGGGTTCGCTAGTGGCTAAACTTCTTCTCCCCACGATAAGCAGCCTGGTCTTTCTGCCGACCATCAGCATCGCAGCCAAGCGAAGATTTCACATGGAAGCCATGGTTTATTTTTTCACCATGTTCTTTGTTGCGGTAAGAGCTCCTTCCCTTGCTTTGTGTTGATGACGTCTTTGAAATCCCTCTGGACGGTCTCCATTTGGACATTTTCTTGTGGGCCAAATGATTTTTTTTTTAAAACAATTGAAGCTTATGAAATGCCAAAGGGGGAAAGATGCATTGCTTTACCATACATAATATAATTTCCTGTGTACCTGAAAAATATCCACTTTTTGGCAGGTTTACCTCAAGCCATCTGAATGGGATTCTTCAGTGTAGTATGTGCCAATCTTGTCCCGGTGTTTGTAGCTTTATCCTATGTGTGGGGAGTGTGGGGCACGTTTGCGAGGGATGGTTTTTCTTTTGGGAGGTGCGGGTGGTTTGCTTGCTTCTTTCCCGGCTGGGATGTGGCCAGCTTACGTTTTGGTTTTAAATTGTATTTCGAGTAACTTGACGTTTTGTAATTTTAGACAAAAAGTATGTGGTGGAAGTAGCTTTTCCAATTGTTGAGCAAAGGTGCAATGAAAGCTGGAGAGGGGCACAGTTACAGATCACTAGTGGAAAGACTGAGGGACAGACACAGACAAAAGTTATTATTAACCTCCCAGTCTTGCAGAACTGCTTTGAAAATACAGCTGCTTAGACTCACCACCTATTTGCTTTTCCTTTCCATGAGAATAACGAGGGAGAAAAATCCTTTTGTTCATATAAATGCACGTACAATTTGATTTTTTTCTTTTTGCAAAATCGTTAACTGTACTAGCATAAAAATACACAGCATAATACCCAGGATGGGATTCTTACAATCATTGAGACAGTTCCCTTTTTCTCACCATGCGGCTAGGGTAAGAACATGAATGTGAGCAATACTGATGAAGCATGAATACAATCCGGCTGTCCAGACTCAGTGCTCTAACCAGTGGACAGCACTGCCACATCCCTGGTTATAGAGGGCAGCCTTTCAGCATGGAAACAAAACAATCCTGCATGTATCTAAAAATCAGCTGGATGGGTTAATAAATAGTGCCAGCCCCAGTGTCCAGCCAAATTCCTTGGAGTAGCCCTGCCTACCTTGGGGGTCCACAATTTCACTGGACGCCATTGTAGGGTTGAATGCAACTCTTTCACAGGTCAAAAGAAATCTTGGCCTGCGGTGAATCAGCCCCATTGTGAACAGGTTGAAGATGCAAAATATTGATATTCTAAAAAAAGGAAGACAGTTGCCAGGGCTGTCGGGGTATGTGGGGAAGAGCAAAGTGGTGTTGCAGCTGCTGCTCTTGCCTGGACTATATAGTCCCACTCAACTCCCCCCAGCAAGAAATTCTCCAGACCAGTGAAAGCAGATGTCCATCTTAGACAAGGGCTCCTACTTGAGCCAAAAACACCCACCAAAACACACGCATCAAATCTCGAGTCCTCTCAAAATTCAACACCAGAGCAAAGGAACAACCCCTATCGGTAGCATCACTTGCTACAGCAAAGAGATTGAGGCAGGGAAGTTGTCTCAATTCTCATCGTAACCTAATACCGGTGCCCTCCCAGACAGCCGGCAGCGAGAAATGTTTAAGGGCAACATTGCCAAGTGGTTAAGAAACCAAATTAGGAACAAGGAAGCATCCAAGAGCCAGCAGAAGCAAATTAGGGGGGTGTATTTGCCAGGGGCTAAGCAAAACACTACCCAAGAAATCCCAGGAATATGCTTTGGGTTTTGCTGGTGAATTCCCTTTGATTTAGTCTGTGCGTATGAGAGCATTTTGCAAATATCCTACTAAATGAGTCTGTGGGCTGGAACATTTGCTAAGCTGGTGAATGTTTAGGAAATACAATCAAAGGCACTGGAGGGTAGAAGTCAACGTTACCCACAGAGCCAGGAGAAAGGTCTAAGTATCATATAAGTTCTCCTGGGCTCAGTGACACATTGGCCCCTTGCCCAAAGGTGACTTTCACCCAAGGAAACTCATTTTGAATTCATCCCCACCAAAAACATGATGCCAAGCGTCACTCTAATTCATCAAACAAAGCTCACCATATGGCCTAGGTCATCATCATTCACACCTACTAACATCCAATAGCAGGTTCCCGCAATGAATTGTTTCCAAAACCACTACAGACCAAGACTCATTCGCTGACATTTTTCAGCAAATTATTTCCCTTACTGAATACATTTGAGAAAGGGTGCCGCTCTGCAGGTAAATCTTGAAGCCCAAGGCAGCCAATGGGCACGTCTACACATTTAATTAGTGTGCTTCAGGTAATGCGCATTAAATCTAGCACCTCCATTGTGAAGTACTAGAAAAATGTGCATTAGCCTGTTTTAACGCACATTATCTAAAGAGCACAGGGTTTTTGTGATGCTTTAATGAGCATTGAAATAGGCTAATGCGCGTTAAGGCACATGTGTAGATGCACCCAGTGCTTCTTGGACAAACCATTTATCACACCCAGCTGGAGCCAAGATGCTTGGGTCCTATTCCTGACTGGGTCACCGACTTATTGTTTGATCTTGATAATGGATTTGGAGTCTGAGCCAGCACCAACTGAAGTTAATAGGAGTCATTCCTTTCACATCACTGGGTGCACCAAGTCATTAGGGCTGAGCAAGGAGCAAAGATATAATGACATTACACGAATATGTGGCCAGGTTTGCATTTATCTTCTTCTTTTGTATTCTCTTTCTGATAGATTTACCATGCCTGTGACGGCCCTGGCTTATCAGTGCTGTGTTTCATGCGGTACGATATCCTGGAATATTTCAGCATCTATGGGACAGCTCTGTCCATTTGGGTATCGCTGATGGGTGAGCACAAGTTTTCAATGGTTCTTAAAATGCTGCAGGCTTTGGGGCTTAGTATTTTAGGTGCTGGATACAATGGCGTCACCGTTATCAGGGTTCATGGGTTGTAGTCATGAAAGATAAGCTCTTGCCGACAGACTTGTCATCTGCTGAAGCCAACTCTGAGACTTTTTCCTGTGGGAGCCAGGTCAACCCACATATCCCAGTTATAGAGCTAGGCCTCGGTGTGCCCGTGGTCTCTCTGGTCCCCTTTGAAAGAAAGATGGCTCAGCCAATCCCCTGCTTTACATGACCCTGCAGTGCCATAGTATGTAGGGACTGTGCTGCATTGAACAAAGGAAGGGGCCTGGCTCACCCAACAACATAAGACAGGGAAGACCCAGCATGGAATAGTTAACTGGAAAATTAATTCAGTTCGACTACAATTAGACCATCACAGGAAGGGCTCAGCTTCGTTCTTATTCTAACCACAGTGTTTCTACTGTCCTCTGCAGTGATTTGAAGAAAAACATAGGCAAATAAGATCCAAATGACATTCTCCACTGGATTATAGTAATGTCAAAGCAGGTCAGATTTGATCCAGACATTTTGGCTGCCTGCAGTCTGGCTACACTGGATTGCTTTATTATTGAATTAAAAAAAAAAAAAGTCAGGACTAGCATGTTTAAAATATTGGCCTACAGGGAAACAACAGAGATTAAAATGCGGACATTATCCCTTAGCCAAAATCCCTATAAAAATGCAATCCAAGGACATAGAAGGTGTGGTGGCTAAAATGCAGGGAAGCCTCTCAAAACATGGCTTGTAAAGACTGAATGCACATGTGTGTACGCACAGACCCTTGGGCACATTTCCCAGTATGCAAATCTGGGACAGCCATAACACAGCTGTGTGAGCTGGAAAGGCACAGAGCCCACAGGGATCCATAACTTTTATCAGTTATTACCCCATTCTGTGCTAAACAAAAGCCTCTAATAATTTACTTGCACTAGTCACTTCATAGCTTCCAAACTTCAGGCAGGTGTCTGTCTGGGCAGCCAGTTAGGCCCAATCCAGGCTAAGATCAGAACCTATCAGTAGGATTCTGGGCTGATGATGAATAGCCATATAAAGTCCTACATAGAGGCGATGTAGGGTAATTAGGGCAGAGGACTGGTAGAGATAAGAACTAGCTATGGTTCCCATGATGTCTGGACCATTGGCTTAATTGTGTCCCAACGGTCAGCCTGGAAAAGCGAGCAATACATACTTCCAAGATCTCATGGGAAAGCTAATCCAATGACCACTATCCTGGAACATTTACAGAGCTTAGCTCACTTTTGCAAAGCCAGCGACGAGAATATAGTCATCTGAGTCCCACTGACTCAGTTGCATGAATAGATTCTCTTATCCAGTTTTAAAAAAACCTTGACTTTTGAGTTAAATTTTCAAACGCACCATAACCGTTACCCAGGTTACATTTTCAAAGAGGAATCAGTCACCTCGGAGCCAAAATCCCTTTGACCTCCACTGAGATGCAATTTCCAATGTGCCTAAGTCTCCTTTATAAAACGCAGGTCCTCAAATCACTTGGACAGTTTTAAGAGTAGTTTATCCCTTTTCATCTTCTGCAAAAGTGCATTGAAAAAGCTGAATGTGGGAGACCTCATTTACCTGAGCTCTTGGCTCCAGTTATAGCTCACACTTTTCAGGGTCCTAAAAGAACACATAACACACCCTACAGATAGCTCAGCAGGTCTGTTCCTGACGCTAGGGTCTCAGAGAACCAGGGAAGTTCAAGTTCTGCCAAAACTATTAATAAGACACTTGGAGCCACAGGAACTCATAGGCTAAGTACAGACAATCAAAAAGCCTGAGGCTGAATCAATTCAATCTTCACAAGTTAGTCTAAGCTGCATAGATTGAACCAATAAGCAAGTGAACAGACATTCACTTTTGATTCTGGAAATGCAGCCAGAAGCCGGGGGGTGCTTGAGCTCACCTCCCTGGTCTGCTGGAGCAGATGGCTTGAATCTGGAAGGGATCCGGGACAGACGTTCAATAAACTGATTTAACCTAAATCCATTAAGTCTGATAGTACATCCATCCAGGTTTATCTTAAACCAGTTTTGGCTATTTCGAAAGTGGTTTATACACACTGAACTTTTGCCATGTTACAGCTTTGAACTGGTTTCCAACCACTTATGCTGGTTTAAGTGTAATTTCTGTTAGTAGTACTTTGTTGAGTAGAAACAATGCCTGTGGCCAGTGCTATCAGTGATCACAGTTATGCCACATCATCATGGAGCTAATGGGAAATACCCACCATGAGCCGTTCCTCCATGCGTTGCCATGCTACTTCACACAATCTGAACTGTTCCGACAGGGCAGACGATGTCAGGGAACAGCTCCCCACTGCTTAACTTGGGCAGTCATTGATAAATAGGAGAAAGGAAGTAGCCAGCTGCTCTCTGTGCCAAGCAAGATGATTCTGGGCTGTTTGTTAGCAACGTGCCAGGGGACGAATGAAAGTGATGGCGGATTCGATGTTCTGACCCTGCCTTTGGTCTTTGGTCTGCAGCTCTGGCCGAGTTTGACGAACCCAAAAGATCAACCTTTGTGATGTTTGGAGTGCTCACCATAGCAGTAAGGATTTACCATGACCGATGGGGCTATGGTGTCTACTCGGGACCCATCGGGACTGCCGTCCTTGTGATAACAGTGAAATGGGTACGTGCGTGACCAGCCAACTGGTTGTCACCAGCTGAAAGTGCCCTCTGTGCAGAGGGGTCTGCATACCACCTCCATACCACTTCAGCCTGAAGGTACTCTCTTTAGCGTCCCACCAAAGAGCAGAAGGGGGATTTCTGAACAAAGCATCTTAGCTAGATGGAGGATAAGGCAGGCAAATACTTTTCTTTGCTAAGTCTGCTCTGTGCATTATGACACAGGACACTGGGGCTGGATTCATTGGAAGAATAGGGGAGATATTCTATATGATCCCTGAATAGCATTTCTTGTGCAACAAGACCTGAAAGCAGACAAATAAATAGCTTTTGTGATCCTTGCCAGATTTGACTAGTCTGAGCCACTCTGGCAAATCTCACTTTCTTATGTTTCTAGTCATCAAGAATCTCATTTATGGAGTTTTTACAACTACCGAGAGGTGCTGTGGTCTGGTAAAGTGCCCTAAAGTCCATGGAAGATCTTCATAAAAACCTGTGGTATAGCAGAGCTGCAATTCAGACTGAACAAATACCAGCCAGCTTCTGTTTCAAGGCCCCTAAATTTGCCTTCTGACTCCTGGGGTTCACTCAGAAACTTGCCTTTTGTAGGACAGAGTAGGCAGCAAAGACTCAAGGCTCCCCAGATCAGGTTTCTTAAATAGAGGGAGTGACAGAGATGTTAGGGTCAATGTGTATGTCTCCAGAAAGGAAGGAAAAAAGATTAGGAGCACAAGCACTGCATGTCTAACTGTCCTGGAAAGTTTGTGGTCTACACCCCAAGTAAAATAATGTTACTAATAACCACTGCCTAGAGCTCTGCAAGAGTTCTTCATTGTCCTAAACGGCTGCAAATGAAGGCCACTGCTCACGCTATCCCTCCTGCAAGCTGGATCCCACTTCTGAAAGCTGCAAACAGGTTTACAAGGGAGCAAACTTTCTGACCTCATGTCCAGGTTGCGAACATTTAGTGTACACCTTTACGATCAAAGAGAGCGTGTGAAGCTGCACTTCACTACCCGCCCCCAGCATAGTGTCTGGATGCACTTAAGGCGTGCCTCATTCTTGTGCCAAAATGCCATGTTGCTAGTTATCCAAGATACATGGACTGTGTAGGTTCTGCATCACGAGTTCTTGTTGGTTCAACTTTTGCTTGCACAGGACCTTCCAGAGGCTGAGCACAGAGACTGCAAAACCCAAAAAGTGTGCTTGATGTATTTTCTGTTCCCTTCCAGCTGCAAAAGATGAAAGAGAAGAAAGGCCTGTACCCCGACAAGAGCGTCTATACACAGCAGATTGGCCCCGGCTTCTGCTTTGGTGCTTTGGCACTGATGCTGAGGTTCTTTTTTGAGGTACGTGTTGGCACGATGAATTTACAATGATCATTCCCAAACTGGAAAGCTGCTACCAGGATGAGAACTTTTTATATCTTCATCCCTACTTTGAATACAGCCTGGGCTGTCTAAAACTTACCGCCTGTAGGAGCTGGGGACGTTCCAGCCCAAGTGCCAGTCAGCTTCACCCACACAACTGGAGATGACTAGCGACAGATCAGGGAAGAAAATGTCATCCATGAATTGCAACTGCAGCACAGCAGCAGAGAATAATTTACTTGATGAAGTTTATCCTCTGTTTCTGTTGGCAAGGTGCCTATGGATGGCTCGCCATTTTATTTCCTGCGAGGCTGTCATTATTTGAAACAATTTGCCCAGTACCAGTGACCTCTTTTGTAAATTGGGCCACGTGTGATTTAAGGTAAAAAATGCCCATCGGTGGAGTCCATAAGAGGACCCAGGTGTTCCTGATCCCAAGACCGTGGGAGTGAATGGAAAGACTCTTCATCTTCATTGACTCCAGTGAGGACTGGTTCAGCCCACTACCTTCTCTTCTAGGCACCAGACCATAGTTTTTTCCTATGCAAAAGGCACTGCTATCCTAACAGCCAGCGAGGAAAGAGATAACCCTCTTGACATAGCTGCTAGCTGAGTGTGGGCTGAGCCTTTGCACTACTGCTGCTCTGTGCATTGGGAGCTAAGAGACACAACTTCACAGGGATCCCTGCAGATTATGTTTCAAAGCATTAAATAATCACAAGCTCGAGCAGAACATAAAAATGTCACTTAGCATAACCTCCCCCCCAACACACACACGTATCTCTTCTCCCTGCTTTTCTATTTTGTCCTGTGTAGTTTAATGAAACGCTCCATTCAGGAATTGGAAAATGTGAAAATAGGACTGTGTTAAATCCACTTTACTTTTCCAATGTTAGCTTTATAAGGCTGGACACCCCTCTTTTTTATGCTAAAGGGGCACAGAAGTCTCAGGATCTCTTTTCATGGTTGGTGGGCACTGTCAATATGGAGCGCAGTGCATGAAAAAGAAAGCAGTAGGCAGATCACCCAGATCACTGATCCCTCTCTAACGGTCAGAGATTCAGTAAAGGTCCAAACTCCTATTTAGACACCTCGATAGGAGCCAGATCTTCAGCAGTGCTCAGCATTCACCATGACCACTCACCTCTTCTTAAACTTCTGCTCAAGGAAACAGTTAATGGGCAAACAACTGCAGGACACAGCTGTGATGCCATCTGGACACAGCTTGATGATGAAACTCCATAGTGCTAAGACTGTGGCCAGCAAAGATGTTCACAACATGAGAATGATTTTGCAATTAGGATTATCCAAACAAAGATATAAATCGTGACTGTGGAGATCCTCCAGTGTCCCAGTTTAACCCCAGGCATCCCAAGCCAGTAGAAAGTTGCTATCCTATCTTAGATGCAAGGTACTATAAACCTGGCATTTCAGGTGAATCAGAAGGTTTGAAAGCAAGTCACTAAATGCTGAATGGTCTCTTAATCTCATTGCTCCAGTACAGCTATACTAGTGTCTACCCAACTCTGCATACACCCTCTTTCCAACACTTCCTAGGTATGAGGTTGCAGCAACAGCATCAAGCCCTGGCTAACTTTAAGAGAGAAAAATTATACTATGTTCCATTTATTTTCGCTATGAGCACTCCAGTATAACTGGTATTTCCTAGCATGAGACAGGCTCATTCAAGTATCAGCAGAGACAAATACATATAGCAATAGGGAATCAATGCGAAGTCTTCCTGGTACCGGCATTCACTCACACCAGAAGTCTAGCAGTAGATCTGGTTACTTTTCTTGGCTGGTGCACAAGGTCAATGTTGCACTGTGAATAAGGGGGAAACAGCAGACGGAATGAATCGTAGTAGACAGAATGACACTGAGCTCAATGGAAAGCCTCCTTCTGATTGCAATGGGCCTTGCCTTGGTCCTTCAAGGAGTATAGCTCATCTATTCAAGGATCTAAAGCACTGCCGTGCGACTTATTTGACCAAATGCAACTAAGCAGCACGGATCCAATTTCCAACAGCAGGATGCTTCCTTGTAAGTGCTGGAGAAGAAAAGGCCGAATCAGAGCCCATGATAGGGAACCCAAGCTTAAACCTTTCCCATGCATGTATGCAATAAACTGAAATTCTGCAGGCAGGAGAATAAGGAGAGCAGAAGGGATTTAGGGACATAACACTGCAAGGCACCTTGAGAGCCATCAGGTCTATTCTTCTGCATTCATAGGAAACCAGCTGCCCCTGGGACTGTCCACTTTGACCCCTTTCCCTGACCTTCTCTTTGTTTGCAGGATTGGGATTACACCTATGTGCACAGCTTCTACCACTGTGCCCTGGCCATGTCCTTTGTCCTGCTGCTGCCCAAAATGAACAAGAAAGCAGGGAACGCTGGGACCCCTGCCAAGCTGGATTGTTCCACCCTCTGCTGCTGTGTGTGACGAGACCTTCCTCCTGACTGGTCAACGCTTCTGCATCCCAACCTGCACCTATCTGCAGCGGAGATGGACTGTATGCATGTCACACAGCCTTCATGCCGGCGGGGGTTGTGACCAAAAACAAGGGGCCAAGCTGGGAGCTGAGAAGATTCCCTCCTGCCATAATGTCGCCACCTCCTACCCCCAAGTCCAGGCTGTTAAGAGTTTTAATTGGCCGAGACACAAAACCAGCCCACTGGAAAAGCCAACTTGCATCCGAGAGGCCACACTAGCCAGCCAAAATCCTTCTCCCTGATTCTGTATTTTTGTATTTACAGGCCACAACAGCAACAAAAACCCCCAACGACCCTTCTTAGGGAAGTGCTGGTTGGCATACAACCTTATCTATTGGCTACTCATTATATTTGACATGCCCTCGCCTTTCCCAGGGACATCTGTGGGCTACATATCCTCTCTATGTCCCCTTAGATTCTTCCATTTTCTTTCCCTTTGGAGATGAGTGCTCATGTTGCACTTTGCAAACCTCACCAAGCCTGTATATACGGGGATTTGCTGTAGCTAACACTGAAACACCAGAGTTTGTATTCTTGTGAGATACTTGCTATTTTATTTATGTATTTTCTTAACAGATAGGTTTTGTACAGAAGGGGCAATCCTACCTCTAGCACCAAGATTTGTGTATAAACCTGATACCGCTGAATAGAGTCAAATGACCACCATAGCCTCAGTGTCCTTATTATTAGATATTTAGAGAGCCACAAATTTACAGGAGACCTTGCAGACAGATATGAGGCATGGTCCCTGCCTGGGAGAGCTTATAGCCTCAACAAGATAGAAGCCAGAGGTAGAGTAGATGTGATCTCTTTTATTAGACTGACTGAGTAATTGGAAAAAAGTTCTTAGCAAGCTTTCACTCTTCTTGAGGCATTTTCCAACTACTCAGTTGGTCTAATAAAAGAGATCACATCTACTCGAAGAACCTTGCCTGCCTATGTCCTTAGACCCACATGGCTACCACCAAAAACCCAATAGACAGTGGGTTTACACCTATGTAGGGGTATTCTCTGCACCATGCCCAAGACCTGCTCAGGAGCAACAGCTTGTGCCCCATCACGCCCTCACTACCTCATCGCCAGAGATGACATGCATGGACCGGGGCAGAGCTTAAGCACTCAGCGGTGCAACTGTTGCCACAGCGCGGACATATCCTAAATGGATGCTCCTAGTCCAACCTGCTGCTCTCAAGTCATGGCAGGCGTGCTGCCAGGACTCCTCCAGTGGCCCTGTTCACCTGCTGGAGAACTGTGCACAGAATCTCTAGCAATGCCTTCCCCCGTCCTGTTTCCTCCTGCTGTTCCCCCGCAGCTCTCCCGGATGCTAAGCCCTGACATCCCCGCTCAGCTCCCACCGGCTCCTCCGCTCGGATAAGTTGCTCAGCAGAGTCAATGGAAGTTTTGCCCGAGTGAGGACTGAATGAGGGCATCAGGATCCGGTCCCCAGCTTGGCACTGCCTCCCACTGCCAAATCTACCCCGTCTCAGCGTCCGCTGCAACACTAGGCACTTTGTGCTTGCAAACCTGTTTGGATCACACATCCAAGCAGGTGCACTCACAGAGAGGCTCATTGGTATGTCAAGTACATGGAAAATTAGAGGCACAGAAAGAAGCTCCTGAAAGGGCGGGGGAGAGCTGTAAACTTATAACATCCCCTGTAACAGACTATTTACTATAGTAGAAGTGTATGATTTATTTAGACTGTCTGGGAAGAAAGCCAAGACTGTGTGTCATGGACAATTAGAGTAGTATTGATATACAGTGATGTCCATTGAAAGCTTGCGTTAAGTCTGGGTATCGTTGGAACAGAACTCTATGGGGGTCATTCATCAGAGCGGCTTCCTGCTCAAGGGGCAACTGCTGTAAATTAATGGACCTCCAATAAAAATAAGTGAATTATAAAGTCCAGTGCACCCAAGCACTACCGACAGGCTGGTGCTGAAACCTCACCCTCAACAATCACTGTCTGGAAACGCATCCCTGACTTAGTGCATCCAGCAAGTGCGCATATAGGGTGAGATTTTCCAAAGGGCTCTTCATCCATCTATGCATTGAACGGGGCCACTTTTTGCAAAAGGCATCAGCATGTTGGAGGTCTCTCTCTGTGAAGAGAGCCTGACCCATAGTGTAATAGCCCATGTGCTCCTTGAGGTACAACCTGCAGATTGCAAACAAGCCCACCAGGCCCTGCTAGATACAACAGTCAGATGTCCTTGCCTGTGAGTCATGAGGAGGACCTTCTCCATCTCAACCACCCATCACATAAGTCACATCTGCCTGACGGTACCAGATGATCTCACGGCTATTCGTGGGGGAGGATGGCTCTCACCTGGACCCCATAAGCATTCCCACCCCATGTGCAAAAGAGGGACATTACCAACTCCTATCCGTTGGTATCTGTGTCAACTGTTAACTTCACCAACTACCATAATAAACGAATGAAAGCCAGGCCCCCCATGTCCCATCCATGAGGGATCATGTGCCCATACTTAGAGAAAGGAGGGTCACGTGGCGACACTGGAAATCATTTACCCTGGGACTTGCTGCAGACACGTTGGGGGGTCTTGGGTGAACCAGCCATTTCATCTTCCTGCACATCAATTGGTTTCCACGATAGGAAGAGAGTAATATTTCTTTACCAATACACAGGGCTGCCCAGATACTAAAGTCCTTGAGGTCTACCTATAGAAATAATCATCTCATCTTATCTCTAGGTTTTAAAACAAGCACCCAACCCCAAAGCACACTGCTATAATGCTATTACAGACAAAAAGCTACCTTAACAATTTAAACTTGCCCCATTGCACTCAGTCTCCAACTATTTCTGCACACCTGTTACGACCCATCAACATCCATGCAGATTTGAAGCTCTCCAAAGCCCAGATAGTTATTATTTTAGTGTTTCATACAATGCCTAGAGCAAAAAGGCACCGATCCCTGAATGGGATTTGTCGGTGCTGCTGCCCTGTTAATAAATGAGCATCACTGTGTGCCTAAGCTCTAGAGATGGCCTCAGTTGGGACCAAATATGCTGGATTTCTGAGTGTGCAAAAATGAAACATCATTTAAGAGTAATCTTTTGGCAGGTATTGACCTTGTCTACCTTGTCATTTTTTTTTAGAGGGAAGAATAAATCTTTATCAGAGAGTTAAAAAAATAAAAGAAATGTAGAGATGCCCTAGGACTGGAAAGGTTCGTACATAATTAAGGTTCTCTGCTAAAAGTATAAGCTATACCAACCTGGCCCAAACAGAAACCTGTATTGAACAGGCCTACATTTTCAAGGGGGATTAGTGATTTGGAGGTGTGTCAATATTTAGGTGCCCAGGCTCAGGTGCTAGAAAGGGTCCTGTTTTCCAAAGGCAGGTGATCTGCACTTTCTGGAAACCAGTCCTCTTTACAACGGCTCCGGTCAGGAACCCAAATTTAAACTTTACATTTTAGAAATAAGCATTATGGACTCTCTAAACTGGCATCAAAGCAACAGTCTAAAATACAGATGTTTCATACTTACACATTATTATTATTACTACTATTATTACTATTATTATTTCTATTACTATTATTACATTGACAGCCCCATCTGAGATTGGGACCTCAATGTGGCAGGCGCTGTACACTGACATAACAAAGAGACCGTGCGCTACATAGAGACCATAATGTGTGCAAAGCTCCTTGAGGTCCTTAGAGGAGAGTTGCTACATAAATGCAATGTGCTAGGCTTCTCGAACATGCGGAAATGTAACTGGAAAAGAATGGGCGTCAGCCGCGCTTTCAAAATATTTTATTCATTAAAAAAAAAAAAAACAGTTTGGCAAACTCAGTGCAAAGAAGGAGGGCACATTAGCTAAGGCACAGCTGAGTAAATGAAAGCTGCATGAGCAGACAAGCTGCTGCTCACACCTGCCATGTATTTAGGTGTTACATTAAAAAAAAAAATTAATTGGTCTATTGCACAGTAATAAAATCACAGGCGAGGGGCGTTCTTTCCCCTCTGTACTGATGCAACCGGGCTTGCAAATGACTGTGGCAAACCTACAGGACAAAAAAAAAATCACAACTGCTGTTGGACATGGCAAGCGTGTTGCAGCAACAGCAGCTGCCTTCTTAAAGGGACATCATAAAGCAGGAGGAGGATTAAAAAAAAAATATATATATCCAACAGTATTGCCAAGATGACTGAGAGAGACTAAGCAAGCCGAGAGGGGGATTTTCAAAGGCACAAGGGGCTGGTAAGGAGTCTAAATACCACTGAAAATCAGTGGTGCAGGGTGGGATTTTCAAAAGCTCAAAGGTACTTAGGAGTTCTTTGCAAGTCAACAGCGGTTGGTTTCTTCTGAAAATCCCACCTCCTGCTCCTGAGAAGTACCTCTGGAATAAAAGCCCAGCTCCACGAAGCGGGGTCGAAGGGGGGCTATAACAGCCTTTAGCAAGCACGAAGCACAAAGGAGGCAGAGGAGCTACTGAGGGCAACCCTGCAGCGGGGGTTGGAAGAAAACCCAAGTAGAAAGCAAATATCGGGCTGCCTCCCTCCTCGCCAGTCTAAGAATTCGTCAGAATTAGCCATGCGCTTTTTCAGCTCATCTCTCATCTCCACCCACCCTCGTTTCTCTTGCAATGATAAAAGAAAGAAGCAAACACAGCTTCTTGTGACCCTAGCCCTTCATCTGACCTTTCTAAAGATGACCTGCAAGCCAAAAGGACCTGGGACTTGCCTTCTTTTCCTTGTTCATAAACCTTCAACAGGTTTTTGCCAAGAGCTTTGGGGGTTCATTTTTGCTGGGATAGGTTAATAGGTTTCCCAGAGCACCTCCGCAAAGCCCGTGCGGCTTGGGTGTGCAAAGATGGAGGCGTGCAACAAAGGGAGACCACTTGTGAAAGCGCGGCGGTAGCTTTGATACAATGGGGAGAATTTCCTAAGGCCAACAAGGCAGCAAGGTCACCTTGGGC